AACTGAGACTCTGGCCTCCAGTTCATGCTTTGCCATCCCAGTTCAATGAACCAACAAATCCCTTTTTGGTTTAAGTCCGTTTTATTTAGATTTCTGGCACTTGCAACAAAAAAAAGCCTGGTCAGGAAGTATTTGAATTTCTGATTATTATGATTCCCATTTTATTGAATTCCTGCAAGATAAAGGCCCTCTGCTTGGGGGACTGGGGAATAAGTGCCATACAGCCCAGTGATTAAGAGCTCAGACCAGTCTGGGCACGGTGGCTCATGCCTGTAATCCCAGCACTTTGGGAGGCCGGATCACCTGAGGTCAGGAGTTTGAGACCAGCCTAGCCAAAATGATGAAACCCCGTTTCTACTAAAAATACAAAAAATTGGCCAGGCATGGTGGCGAGTGCCTGTAATCCCAGCTACTCAGGAGGCTGAGGCAGGAGAATCGCTTGAACCTGGGAGGCGGAGATTGCAGTGAGCCAAATCACCCATTGCACTCCAGTTGGCAACGAGAGCAAGACTCCATCTCCAAAAGAAAAAAAAGGCTCAGACCAGGTAAGCAGAACTGTTTCAGGATCCTGGCTGCGCCTCCATTTGCCCGTAAACATGTAGGCAGTTACATTTAACCTCTCCGTAAAATGAAAATACTAGCACCTACCTCATAAGACAGTGGAAGGACCTTAGAACAATGCCTGGTAGATAGTAAGCACTCAATAAAGGTTGGGTGCTGAACTCACATATAGCCAGGAAAGTTCATGGGTGGAGCACCCAATAGGAGGGTCAAGGAAAGGTTTTTAGAGAAGGGAATTGAGACCTGAGGGAGATGCACATTCCTTGGATAGCAAGTTCAGGAGTATGTGAGGAGAGGAATACACAGCTGGGAGTGGTAGCTCATGCTTATAATCCCAGCACTTTGCAAGTCCAAGGCAGGCGGATTAGCTGAGCTCAGGAGTTCAAGACCACCCTGGCCAACATGGTGAAACCCCGTCTCTTAAAAACATAAAAATTAGCCGGGCATGTGGCGCCTGTAGTCCCAACTACTCGGGAGGCTAAGGTGGGAGAACTGCTTGAACTTGGGAGGCAGGGGTTGCAGTGAGCTGAGATCACGCCACTGCTCTCCAGCCTGGCTGACAAACGCAAAACTCAAAACTCTGTCTCAAAAAAAAAAAAGAAGAAGAATAAAGGATGGGGAAGTCACATAGACGTCAGGTCATGATAGGCTGGAAGGCCATATTAAGATACTTGGGCTAGCCTGGGTAACAAAGTGAGACCCCATCTCTACAAAAAATAACTAGGGGCTGAGGGGGAGGATCCCTTGCGCCTAGGAGTTCAAGGCCTCAGTGAGCTATGATTGTGCCCCTGCACTTCAGCCTGTGTGACAGGGAGATTCAGTTTCTTAAAAAAAAAAACTTGGACTTTATCTTGAGGCAAGACCAAGCTAATGAAGCCTTAAGCAGGGCAGTGACATGATCAGATTTGTTTTTATGTATTTTTTGAGATGGAGTTTCACTCTTGTTGCCCAGGCTGGAGTGCAATGGTGCAATCTCGGTTCACCGCACCCTCTGGCTCCTGGGTTCAAGTGATTCTCCTGCCTCAGCCTCCCAAGTAGCTGGAATTACAGGCATGCGCTACCACGCCCGGCTAATTTTGTATTTTTAGTAGGGATGGGGTTTCTCCATGTTGGTCAGGCTGGTCTCAAACTCCCAACCTCAGATGATCCACCCGCTTTGGCCTCCCAAAGTGCTGGGATTACAGGCATGAGCCACTCAAATTCCCAACCTCAGATGATCCACCCGCTTTGGCCTCCCAAAGTGCTGGGATTACAGGCATGAGCCACTACGCCTGCCTATGTTATTTTTTTTTTTTTTTTTTTTTTTTTTTTTGAGACGGAGTCTGGCTCTGTCGCCCAGGCTGGAGTGCAGTGGGCGGATCTCAGCTCACTGCAAGCTCCGCCTCCCGGGTTTACGCCATTCTCCTGCCTCAGCCTCCCGAGTAGCTGGGACTACAGGCGCCGCCACCACGCCTGGCTAGTTTTTTGTATTTTTTAGTAGAGATGGGGTTTCACCGTGTTAGCCAGGATGGTCTCAATCTCCTGACCTCGTGATCCGCCCGTCTCGGCCTCCCAAAGTGCTGGGATTACAGGCTTGAGCCACCGCGCCCGGCCCCGGCCTATGTTATTTTTTAAGACAAGAGTCTTACTCTGTCACCCAGGCTGGAGTGTAGTGGCGCAATCTTGGCTCACCGCAACCTCCGCCTCTTGGGTTCCAGCAATTCTCCTGCCTCAGCCTCCCAAGTAGCTAAGATTACAGGCGTGTCTCTGGCTAATTTTTATATTTTTAGTAGAGAGGAGGTTTTTTCATGTTGGCCCGGCTGGTCTCACTCCTGACCTCAAGTGATCCATTTGCCTCGGCCTCCCAAAGTGCTGGGATTACAGGTGTGAGCCATGGCACCCGGCCTCCGTCTCTATTTTAAAATATGTATATAATTCAAAAAAAAAAAAAAAAGATATTCAGGTAGAACCAATAACAGGTAGATGGCATCGGAGTTAAGAGCCTTGCTCCTGTGCAAACCACACAGTGCACGGCGATACTACCTAGGTTATTATCTGGGTGCCTGTGTACTTCACCTCCCTAGGCCTTAGTTTTCCAGCTGTAAAGTGGAGAAAGCAACATCTGCCTCTAGGGATGTTATGTGAGTGAATGAGACAATGTCCATAAAGCACAGTATACAGTAGGCACTCAGTAAATAGTAATGTTTACCAAACCCCAGCACTGATCCTGGCTGGAAATAAAAACAGAAAAACATGAATAGGACAAAAGAGGAAGAAGAGAAAAAGACAGATGGAGAGAAAGAACTAAAGCAATGAGCAAGGTGACAATAGAGGCTGGGCTTGGTGGCTCATGCCTATAACCCCAACATTTTGGGAGGCCAAGGTGAGAGGATTCTTTGAGCTCAGGAGTTTGAGACCAGCCTGGGTAACACAGTGAGACCCCATCTCTGCTAAAAATAACAAAAACTAGTGGGGGGTCACCCATTTGTAGTCCCAGCTACTTGGGAGGCTGAGACAGGAGGATCACTTGAGCCCAGGAGGTCAAGGCTGCAGTGAGCTGTGATCACCTACTGCATTCCAGCCTGGGCAACAGAGCGAGACCCTGTCTCATTTAAAAAACAAAACAGGGCTGGGCGAGTTGGCTCATGCCTGTAATCCCAGCACTTTGGGAGGCCAAGGAGGGCGGATCACGAGGTCAGGAGATCAAGACCATCCTGGCTAACACGGTGAAACCCCGACTCTACTAAAAATACAAAAAAAATTAGCCAGGCGTGGTGGTGGGTGCCTGTAGTCCCGGTTACTTGGGAGGCTGAGGCAGGAGAATGGCGTGAACCTGGAAGGCGAAGCTTGCAGTGAGCCGAGATCGTGCCACTGCACTCCAGCCTGGGCGACAGAGCGAGACTCCATCTCAAAAAAAAAAAAAAAAGACAAAAAAACAGAAGGCCAGGCATGGTGGCTCATGTCTGTAATCCCAGCACTTTGGGAGGCTGAGGCAGGCGGATCACCTGAGGTCAGGAGTTCAAGACCAGCCTGGCCAACATGGCGAAACCTGATCTCTACTAAAAATACAAAAATTAGCCAGGCATGGTGGTGGGCACCTGTAATCTGAGCTACTTGAGAGGCTAAGGCAGGAGAATCGCTTGAACCCAGGAGGCGGAGTTGCAGTGAGCCAAGATTGTGCCACTGCACCCCAGCCTGGGTGACAAGAGCAAAACTCTGTTAAAAAGAAAAAAAAAAATGCTTGCTATGTGCCAGGCACTGCTATAAGCACTTTGCACACACTAACTTCTTCTCACAACCCTGTGTGTACTATCATTATCCCCATTTTACAGGTGAGAAAACTGAGGCACAGAGTGGTTTAGTTTGTCACAGGCAGTGAGCACTCACACTCAGGCATTCTGTCTCTAAAGCTAAACTACCCCCTACACTTAATTAGCTGTGATCTGATACGTGTTGTATACAAATCACTATGTCAGCAAATAGCCAGTGAGGGGAGGGTTCGAGGGAAGAGATGGTGTCTGAGCTGGGTCTTGTAGGTTGAAGAATCTGCCAGCTTATAAGAAGGACAAGGTCATTCCAGGGAGAGCAAACAACATGTGCAAAGTACCAAGGGCTTGAAAATGTACTCCAGGTCCACATCAGGAATAAATTGCCCAGTGTGGCTGTGGAAAGAAAGAGAGGGAGGGAGGGAAGGAATTTGGATCTCATTCTAGAAGCAATGAGGAGCACCGAACTCTTTCAATAGGGCAGTGGCCAGGTCAGATACTTTAGCTCGCTGGTGCTGATGGCCCTCTGTAGAGCGCACTGGCTGAGACTAGGTGGAGGCAGAGATCTGGGGTCAAATGATGAGATCAGAATCTCCTTAGTGGGTGCCTCCACCCTCTCCTACCGCCACCAGTACAAAGCGAGGAGTAAGCACTTGGAAGAAAAGAGGAAGTAAAAGGTCAAGCAGAAACAATGCTACCTGGCATAGATGGGCACCTACTCCCCCTCTCCCCAGCTAGGGAGCCTGCAGAAGGTGGCAGCTATGACAACATCTAAGATGCCAACATTCCAGAAAAGAAGGACGGTGGGGAAGTGAGGGAGCTTCCCAGCTCCCCAGGGTTCTAGCCTCTCCCACCCTCTCACCCTACCTGCAGTCCCGGGACCCCTCCGCAGTCTGCCGGCTCACCCTGACTCAACTCCAAGCCCCTGCAGCCTCCTGGAGCCACCACTGCCCCGTCCGTCAAGCTGCGCACACCCAGCGCCAGCTGTCGGGAGCCAGCTGTGAACCTGCAGAGCCTGTCTCGGGCTCCAGGGCCCAGCTCCCTTCCGCATCTCGCTGCTCCCACATCCCGCAGCTCCGACAGCCTCTCCCGGGATCCCTGAGGGTGCTCCAGGTGGTGCCAGCTGGGATGGCGCCCTGGACCGCAACCTTTGAGACCCACGGTTCCCGGCTTTCCCCCCATTCAGGCCACGAGTTTTGGAACATTTGCTTTTATTCCTTGCAGACAAAGACCCACAAGGGGCCGTGCCTCCCTGGTGGGGACCCGGCAGGGCAGAGTCTCCCACACCCTAGGGACACGCGATCTTGGTGGAGGCGACTGACCACTCCTTACTGCACGCCCTCCATCATCTTCAGGAACTCTGTGGGAAAGGAGAGGAAGATGGTCAGGGGTCCCACTGGGGACGCAGAGGCCAGGCCAGGGCTCCAACCACACAGAGGGGATGACTTTTTTTTGTTTTTGTTGAGACAGAGTCTCGCTCTGTCGCCAAGGTCGCCAAGGTCTGTCGCCCAGGCTAGAGTGCAGTGGCACAATCATAGCTCATTGCAGCCTCAATCTCCTGGGCTCAAGCAATCCTCCCACCTCAGCCCCTGGAGCAACTGGGACCACAGGCACATACCACCACGCCCGCCTTTTTATTTTATTTTTTGTAAAGACAGGGTCTCACTATGTTGCCCAGGCTGGTCTCGAACTCCTGGCCTCAAGCAATCCTCCCGCTTCATCCTCCCAAAGTTCCAGGATTTTACAGTCCTGAGTCACCACGCCCCCCCCTGCCTGTTCATTAATTGATAAACTGCACAGAGGCGTGGGTGCTTCTATACCCGCCCCCAGGAGACTAGGGGAACTTTTGAAGTTATGCCCAGCCCAGCCCACAAGGCCAAAGACACTGCACGGGAGCCAGGCACCAGTGCTCGCCGTCCCCTGTGGCTCCCACCCACTCTTCCCAAGCTCCCGTGGCCCTCCCTCACCGTCGAAGTCAATGCGGCCGTCATTGTTCTTGTCTCCGTCTTTCATCAGAGATTCGATCTCCTCCTCCGTCACGTGCTCCCCAGAGGCCCTGAAAATCTCAGCCAGCTCCTCCGGGTCGATGTAGCCATCTGCATTCCTTCAGGTCCAAGGGTCAGGGCAGGGCTCAGGGCCAGGGCGAGCTGCCCTGTCCACCACACTCCACGCCCCGCTTCCGCACCCCCAACCCGGGGAACCCTCCAGCGCTGCCGCCAGGCTCTGACTGCTCAGCCCCTCCCTCGGCTCCCAGGCCCCCAGCGCACCTGTCGAAGATGCGGAAGCACTCGGCCAGCTCCTCCTCGCTCTTCCCCTTGGCGTCCTCTTTCATCTGGCGCACCATCATGACTAAGAACTCCTCGAAGTCGATGGTGCCGCTGCCTGCGGGGAGCAGGTGGTGGACTGAGCCTGAGCCCAGCCGCTGCCGCCTTTCCACACCATCCCCTGCCTCCGAGGGACACCCGCTCACCGTCCTCATCCACCTCCTCGATGATGGCGTCCAGCTCCTCCTTGGTGGGTGTCTGGCCCAGCATCCTCATCACCGTGCCCAACTCCTTGACGCTGATGTCCCCACCACCATCAGCATCAAACATGTCAAAGGCAGCCTTGAACTCTGCACGGGAGGGCGGAGGGCAAAGGGCAGAAGTGAGGCCAGCTGGACTGTCAGCCTCACATCTACCCCCACAACCCTGCCCAGAGGCCAACATGTCCCCAGCATACATCCACCCAGCCCCCAGCCTGCTGCGCCTCACTCACCAGCGATCATCTCCTCGCTGAGGTAGGACCTGGCCTCAGCCTGCTGGTCCGTCTGCAGGAGACACAGAGAAAGTCTGAGCTGAAGAGGCAGCCCCAGGGCAGTTGCTCTCCTGAACCCCATTCTTTCCAACCGTCACTCTCTCAGCGCTTCTTGGTCCTCCAAAAGAACAACTTCAAACTTGTCACATAATTGTGTGCCCGCACAGCACCCAATCACAGTTTTGTTTTGCCTTGCTCTGTCACACAGGCTGGAGTGCAGTAGTGTGATCACAGCTCACTGCAGCCTCAACCTCCTCAGCTCAAGCAGTCGTCCCACCTCAGCCTCCTGAGTAGCTGGGACTATAGTGTACACCATGCCTGACTCATTTTTTAAAGTTTTTGTAGAGACAGAGTCCCACTATATTACACAGGCTTGTTTTGAACTTCTGGGCTCGAGTGATCCTCCCACCTCAGCCTCCCAAAGTGCTAGGACTACAGACTTGAGTCACTGTGCCCAGCTTCTGACCCCAGTTTTTGTTTTTGTTTGTTTTTTGTTTTTGTGACAGAATCTCACCCTGTCGCCCAGGCTGGAGTACAATGGCGTGATCTCGGCTTACTGCAACCTCCACCTCCTGGGTTCAAGCGATTCTCCTCCCTCAGCCTCCCAAGTAGCTGGGATTACAGGCATGTGCAAACACGCCCAGCTAATTTTTGTATTTTTAGTAGAGACGGGGTTTCACCATGTTGGCCAGGTTAGTCTTGAACTCCTGGCTTCAGGTGATCCACCCACCTTGGCTTCCCAAAGTGTTGGGATTACAGGCGTGAGCCACCATGCCTGGCCTGACCCCAGTTTTTTTGTTTGTTTTGTTTTGTTTTTGAGACAGAGTTTTGCTCTTGTTGCCCAGGCTGCAGTGCAATGGCACAATCTCAGCTCACCACAACCGCAACCCCCACCTCCCAGGTTCAAGCGATTCTTCTCCCTCAGCCTCCCGAGTAGCTGGGATTATAGGCATGCACCACAATGCCCAGCTAATTTTGTATTTTTAGTAGAGATGAGGTTTCTCCATGTTGGTCAGGCTGGTCTTGAACTCCTGACCTTAAGTGATCTGCCTGCCTCGGCTTCCCAAAGTGATGGCATTACAGGCGTGAGCCACCACACGTGGCCTGTGACCCCAGTTTTGAGAAAAAGAGAGGAGACAACAAATTAAGCCCAAGGCCTTCTCACTTGTCAATTGAAGGCCAAGTCAGGAACTCCCCAGTGACCTTAGGTAAGTCACTTAGCATGCATTCATCTTTTCTCTGTAGCTTTTCAGGGATGAGATATCAGGGGTGTGAAAGGGTTTTGTAAAGGCTAGCACCATTCCAGCACTATTTTCCAGTTTTCTGTAGCTCCTAGTGGTGCCCCGTACTTTAATAGTTGCTCAATAAAATGTTTGTTCTCAAATAAATAATAATGCAACACAAAGTTATTGAGTACTTGCTGCACGTCAGGCCGCAGATCAGGCACTGAGACCACGAAGAAGAGACAGAGGACATATCATCCCACCCCTCAGAGAACTGGCAGAGTCAGAGACTGTAAGCTTCCTTCTTAGGATTCAGTCATTGGAGAAAAGGCCCCTCATGTTGGGCCGAATGTGATGGAGGCCTTGACATGAAAGTGAGATATCTGCGGGGGTTTCCAGGTCATACCCAAGCCAGGCCATCTGGGTCAGAGGCTTTGGATTGAGGCTGGCAGTGAGGACAGGGTGAGGCTTCCAAGGAGCTCTTCAGCCGGCTGGCTGCCGGCCCTCCTCCTTCTCCCCCTCCTTCCTCTCCTCCTCTTTCCCTGTGCCAGGAGGGCAGGCTATTTTTAGTTAGGCATGGGCAACAGCAGCTGGCCTCCGGGATCTAGTTACTCCTTGAAGTGAAGTGGGCAGGGGGATCTCAGACGAAAACAACAGCTCCAAATCAGAACCCCTCTCTAGGAGAGCGGAGTCTCTCTAACTCTGGTCTGTCATCTTCTGCCCCTTCCCATCATCCTCAGGGCTCCCAGAGGCCTGCATCTGAGCAGGCCCCACACCCTGCCCACCTCCTGTCTTCTGGAGGAGGCTTTCTTCTCTCCATAATGATAGGAGGGTTTGGCCAGGCTTCTGGCTCACCCCTGCCACTGGCCTACTGGGTGACTCACTCTGACCCCTCAGAGTCCCCACTGTGTGAAGGAAACAAGCTAAGAGCTCTTCACAGGTCTACGAATGACACTGCTGGAAGTTTCCGAAAGTGAGTAGGCAGTCAGCAAGCCTTGAGGATCAATCTCTGGAATATCCCAGCCCTCCCCTTTCAAGAAAAGCCAAAGGCCTTCCTCTAAGACACCTGGGTTCCAGGAACCTCCATGCTCCAACCTCAAACATCCCAGTTACTGCCCCACAAAGCACTCAGGTCTGGCCTGAAAGAGGTCCAGAGTGCTCCCACAAGTAAAGGCACAAAGTTCCCTCTTGTCCTTACCATGGTTGCTGGTGACCAGGACTCCCCTGCTGCAGGTTGCCTCCTTTGCACTCCGCCACCCAAAGATGCCCGGGTCTGCTCTAGCCCCCGGGATTTGTAGGGGCTCCCTCCCCTCCCACCTCCCTGCTCCCCAGCACTGGAGACCCTGCCCAATCAGATCCTGGGGTCAGCGAGCCCCACCCCTCCCACAGTCTGAACCCATTACCTAATTTAGCCAAGGGCCCTTGCAGAGAAATTTAAGCCTCCAAGCAGGTGGCAGGCCTTGACGTCCTAGATTCTTGTGAGGAAGTCCCGCCCTGTTCCACCGCCTTGAAGTCCCCCCGACCGAGGAAGCACATTGGCTCCAAGATGGTAAGAACGATCAGAGTAGTAAAGAGTGAGGCAGCATGGTAAAATGGGGAGAGTACAAGCCTTGAAGTCCAAAACCCAAGATCCAAGGCCAGCCTCTGCAAGCTGTATGACCTTGGGCAGGTAGCAGTGCCTCTCTGAGTCATTTCTTCATCTGTGGAAATGGACCTTTCTGTGGGGTCTCCCTCACAGAGAGAACACGGTAAATGGGAACCCAGGTATAAGTCACCTAGCTTGTGCCGGGTACACAGCGTTGATGCTTGGCAAGAGGAATGTCCTGTCTTTGAACCATGGTAAGGGGCAGGGGATAGAAGAAGGGGAAAGTGACAGCTGGGCAACTGTTTACTGAACCCCCACAATGTGCCACACACTGTGCTAAGCATTTTAACATGATCTCATCTAGTGCTCCTCCTATGAGATAGCAACTATTATTATCTCCATTTGACTGCAGATATTTGTAAATCATAAAGGTCTATACTCACTCTGTCACCAAGGCTGATGTGCAGTGGTACTATTATAGCTCGCTGCAGCCTTGATCTCCTGGGCTCAAGTGATCCTCCCACCTCAGCCTCCCGAGTAGCTGGGACTAGCAGTGCACCACCACCCCTGGCTTTTATTTTTTTCCTTTTTTGTATTTTTTGTAGAGATGGGGGTTTCACCATGTTGCCCAGGCTGGTCTCGAACTCCTAGGCTCAAGGGATCCTTGAATCCTTGGCCTCCCGAAGTGCTAGAATTACAGTCATGAGGCACCATGCCCACCCATGTTGATGATTCTATTAATCCCGACTGGAGGGAAGTTGGGACAGACAGTCCTTGGGGGACCTGTCTAGATGGAAAAATGTATGGAGGGATGGAGGAGAGGAGGATGTGCATTTGGAGGAGAAATAATCATTGAAAGCAAAGATCCTTCTCTCAAAGTTACCTTCTCCATGGAAAGGGTGTTTAGATTCACTTTTTTGGGGTAAGGAGTAGGCAAGGGAAGGTTATTTAAGTGGCAAAGGGGTAGCTGGCCCCTTCCTAGAGCTCAGTGAAGAAATCTGGTCATCTGGGGAGTAAAGGGGTGGGCAAAGCAAGTCCAGAGGGAACCCACCCTGAGAATCCACAAGGTAAAGGCTGGGCACTGGGGAGTAGGCAAGACTTGTGGACAGTGACTACGTCGACAGAAAGAGCACCAAGACAACCGATAGCAGGCTCTGGGGCCAGGAAATGGGGTTGGACACCAAGGAATGCAGATGGACGGTGACAACTGGGCTGCCTCCTTCCCCTATATATAGACATTCCCAAGGAAAGCTCGGCAGGGCTGGGCCAAGCTAAATAAGGCCTCCCCCAGGCAGGCAGAGTGCCAAAGCTTGAGACCCATGGGATTCCAATTTAGTTTTTGTTTTTTTTTTCTTTTGAGACAGAGTCTCACTCTGTCACCCAGGCTGGAGTGCAGTGGCGCAATCTCAGTTCACTGCAACCTCTGCCTCCTGGGTTCAAGTGATTCTCCTGCCTCAGCCTCCCAAGTAGCTGGAATTACAGGCATGAGCCACCATGCCCAGCTAATTTTTTTTTTTTTTGAGACGGAGTTTTGATTTCGTTGCCTGGGCTGGAGTGCAATGGTGCGATCTCGGCTCACCACAACCTCCACCTCCTGAGTTCAAGCGATTCTCCTGCCTCAGCCTCCTGAATAGCTGGAATCACAGGCATGAGCCACCATGCCCAGCTAATTTTGTATTTTTAATAGAGACAGGGTTTCTCCATGTTGGTCAAGCTGGTCTCAAACTCCTGACCTCAGGTGATCCGCCCACCTCAGCCTCCCAAAGTACTGGGATTACAGGTGTGAGCCACCACACCTGGCCAATTTTTGTATTTTTCATAGAGTCAAGGTTTCATCGGCCGGGCGTGGTGGCTCACACCTGTAATTCCACCACTTTGGGAGGCCGAGGCAGGCGGATCATGAGGTCAGGAGATCGAGACCATCCTGGCTAAAATTGGGAAACCCTGTCTCTACTAAAAATACAAAAAATTAGCTGGGCATGGTGGTGGGCACCTGTAGTCCCAGCTACTCGGGAGGCTGAGGCAGGAGAATGGTGTGAACCCGGGAGGCAGAGCTTGCAGTGAGCCGAGATTGAGCCACTGCACACCAGCCCGGGCAACAGAGAGAGACTACGTCTCAAAAAAAAAAAAAAAAAAGGTTTCATCACGTTGGCCAGGCTGATCTCAAACTCCTGACCTCAAGCCTCCTAAAGTGGTGGGATTATGGGTGTGAGCCACCGAGCCCGGCCTTTGTTCTCTTGTTTATTCAGGGGAATAGATAAGTCCCAAATTGCTTATGTGGCCAAGCAAGGTCCCACTGGCACTTCTAATCTCCCTCCTCCTCCCCTCCACATGGTGTTGCTGTCTGCTCTGATCAGACTTTAAAATACTGCTCTAGGCTGGGCACGGTGGCTCATGCCTGTAATCCCAGCATTTTGGGAGGTTGAGGCTGGCAGATCACAAGGTCAGGAGTTTGAGACCATCCTGGCCAGCATGGTGAAACCCTGTCTGTACTAAAAATACAAAAAATTGCTGCCGGGTGTGGTGGTGGGCACCTGTAGTCCCAGCTACTCAGGAGGCTGAGGCAGAAGAATCACGAACTTAGCAGGTGAAGGTTGCAGTGAGCCACTGCAGTCATGCCACTGCACTCCAGCCTGGGTGACAGAGGGAGATTGCCTCTCAAAAAAAAAAAAAAAAAGACTGCTCTAAACTCCACCTTCATGAACCTTCAGGCCTTTGCACATGCTGTTTTTCTCCTGCCAGAAACTCCCATCTTTCCTCTCTTCATCTGTCTACTTCCCCTGTCATCTTTCTCAGCTCTAACATCACTTCCTTGGGGATCCTTCCTCCCCCTATGTCCAGGCCAGGGAGTCTAAGGTGATCTCCAGTAGTTTCCTCAATCATAGCACTGAGCACGCCTTATGATCACAACCCATTCTACGTTCTACAGATCATCACATTTCCCAGTGCTTAGCACTTGCCACGTAGCAGGAGTTCAACAGATACTATATTCTACATAAGAATAACTGAACTGGATGGTGTTTAGTTCAATACAAGGGGGAACTTCCTAATAGTCATAGTTGAAGAATAACGGGAACAGGCAGCTTCAGGAGGTAATGAGCTCCCTGTCACTGAGTATACCCAAGCAGGAGATAGATGACCATTTCTCAGGGAGGCTGTAAGGAGAGATCCATACAGAGTTTAAAAATGGGGACAGTGGCTCACACTTTTAATCCTAGAACTTTGGGAGGCTGAGGCAGGTGGATCTCTTGAGCCCAGGAGTTTGATACCAGCCTGGGCAACACGGCAACATACCAGCCTGTTTCCAATAAAAAAAAATTAAAATAAAACAAAGAATGGTGGATGGTGGCTCATGCTTGTAATCCCAGCACTTTGGGAGGCAGAGGTAGGAGGATCTCTTCAGGCCAGGAGTTCAAGATCAGCCTTGGCAACATGCAACCCCACCTTTACAAAAAAATAAAATATTAGCCAGGCATGGTGGCACATATCTGTAGTCCCAGATACTTGGGAGGCTGAGGTGGGAGAATCACTTGAGCCCAGGAGTTTGAGGCTGCAGTGAGCTATGATCGCACCACTGCACTCCAGCCTCACAACAGAGTGAGACTCTGTCTCTGAAAGAGGCCAGGTGCGGTGGCTCACCTCTGTAATCCCAGCACTTTGGGAGGCTGAGGCAGGTGGATCATTTGAGGTCAGGAGTTCGAGACTAGCCTGGCCAACATGGTAAAACCCCATCTCTACTAAATATACAAAAATTAGCTGAGTGTGGTGGCACACACCTGTAATTCCAGCTACTCAGGAGGCTAAGGCAGGAAAATCGCTTGAACCCAGGAGATGGAAGTTGCAGTGAGCCGAGAGTGTGCCACTGGACTCCAGCCTGGGTGACAGAGTGAGACTCTGTCTCAAAAAAATAAATAAATACATAAAAATAAAAAGGAAGAAGAAAGAAGCAGAAGGAGGAAGAAGGAAGCAAAAAGAAGAAGAAATAATAATAGTGGAGAATGCGCAACCTTGAGATCTGCTAGTTCTGACTGTTTGTATGACCTAGCATAAGCCTTTCCCCTCACTAAGCCTCAGGCTACCTATCTGTAAAACGGAGGTGATAGGCCAGATTTCTGAGGGGTCCTGCTGCTTTAACAACCCATGGTTTCATGAAGACCAGCTTTGTGCCCAGACACATAAGGCATATACCAAAGGACAAGTTATTTTTTAACCAATGGTTGGTGAATGATTGAGTGTTGAATTAATAAATGAAGTATGTCTTTTTTGTCCCAATATCTTGCCCATAAGCCAAATGAAGAGTAATTCGAGGTTTGAAATTGTGCAAACTGGCCAAGCACAGTGGCTCATGCCTGTAATCCCAGCACTTTGGGAGGTACAGACGGGCAGATCACTTGAGGCCAGGTGTTCGAGACTAGCCTGGCCAATATGGTGAAACCCCATTTCTACTAAAAATACAAAAATTAGCCAGGCGTGGTGGCGCATGCTTGTAGTCCCAGCTACTCAGGAGGCTGAGGCAGGAGAATTGCTTGAACCTGGGAGGCAGAGTTTACAGTGAGCCAAGACCCCATCACTGTACTCTGGCCTGGGCAACAGAGCAAGACTCTGTCTCCCTCCCTAAAAAATAAATAAATAAATAAATAAATAAATAAATAAATAAATGAAATTGCACAAACTTAGGCTTAAAATCCATCCCAGCCCCTCGCCGTGTGTGGTGGCTCACTCTTGCAATCCCAGCAGTTTGGCAGTCTGAGGCGGCGGGCGGATCACGAAGTCAAGAGATCAAGACCATCCTGGCCAACACGGTGAAACCCCGTCTCTACTAAAAATACAAAATTAGCCAGGCATGGTGGTGGATGCCTGTAGCCCCAGCTACTCGGGAGGCTGAGGCAGGAGAATCACCTGAACCCAGGAGGTGGAGGTTGCGGTGAGCCGAGATTGCGCCATTGCACTCCAGCCTGGGCAACAAGAGCAAAACTCCTCAAAGAAAAAAAAAAAAAAAAATTCCCCAGCCCCTCTGTTTCCCAGATGTGGATCTTGGGGAAGTCACTTTACCTCAGTTTCTTCATCTTGAAAATGGACCATTAATGTCCAGTTACAGCCTCTTCCCCAGGACGCTGTGAGGGACGGATGTGACAATAAAGTGCCTAGAGCGGGATGTAGAAAGTGGATCCTCAGAAAATAAGAACCCCAGCCTTTCTGCTCACATGGGAAGGCAGGGAGCTGAAATACTTTCTGCTTATTCTAAGGCATTTTCCCCTACCCTTCTGTCCTGCGCCACTCAGAAAGGGCAGGAGCTACTTTGGAGAGATTTTGATTTTATTTGTTGTATTGTATAACTATCAAAATCTGCCCTAACAACTGATATCTAGGCTTTGTGACAGGAAGCCACAATAACTTTCTCTTGACCTGCAGCTGCCCTGAGGATAAAAGATAAAACAAAGCTGGGGAGCCGCTGAGATGATCAGGCCTGCTGCACGGGAAAAGGGCAGTATGGGCTCCAGGCCCCATACTCAGAGACCTCTGAGGGAGGCAGAGGCAGGCAGATCACTTGAGCCCAGGAATTCGAGACCAGCCTGGGCAATGTGGCCAAATCCCATCTCTACAAAAAATACAAAAATTAGCTGGGTGTGGTGGCGAACGTCTGTAGTCCTAGCTACTGGGGTGGGAGGGATGACCTGAACCCAGGGAGACGGAGGTTGCACTAAGCCAAGATGGTGCCATTGCACTCCAGCCTAGGCAACAGAGTGAGGCTATATCTCAAAAGAAAAAGAAAGAAAGAAGGAAAGAGAGAGACAGAGAGAAAGAAACCTCTGGCAAGCTGTGTGGTTTAGCCAAGTAACTCACCCTCTCTGGTCCTCAGTTTCCCTGTTTGCCTACTTCCCATGTATGAGGTTCAAATCAGATTGTGCAATCCTGCGAACACTGTAGGAACAATAATCATTATGTAAGTGATCACTTCGTCAGCCCTTGCTCTATGCCAGGCACTGGACGAGGATTCTTTTTTTTTTTTTTTTTTTGAGACGGAGTCTTGCTCTGTCACCCAGGCTAGAGTGCAGAGGCCAGATCTCGGCTCACTGCAAGCTCCGCCTCCCGGGTTCACGCCATTCTCCTGCCTCAGCCTCCCGAGTAGCTGGGACTACAGGCGCCCGCCACCTGGACGAGGATTCTTACAAGAGCTGCAAAATTAGTTTTAGCAGTACTGTTCCTGTTTTACATATGAGAAAATCTAGGCTCAGCGAGGTCAGATTCCGACCCAAATCACACATCTCCTGGCCTTCGTTTTCTTTCGGGAGACATGGCCTCCCTAATATCGCATAATTACTTTGTGAAGTTAAAGAGCGTTGGGTGGAAATTAGTGGGGCAGATTGGAGATGACGTGGGTGGGGTGGGAGGATTCCAGGAGGGTACGCCCCTGGCCGGACTGGGATGATTTTGCGGCAGGCCTGGGACTCCCTCAGGCCGACCTAGGCTTCCCAAGTCCCTCCTAAAGCCAAGGGCCCGGGATTCTCGGGCGGCTCGGGCGAGCGGGCGGGGCAGGAGGCGGGGCGGCAGCAGGAAGCGGCCCGAGCGGCGCTCGGAGCGGCCTGAGCCCAGCGGAGCCCTGCAGAGCCCGGCCGGCCTCCATGGGCTGCGGGGGGCTGCACCCGGACCTTTGGGGCGCGGCACGCCCCTGAATGCACCGTGGGACGCAGGAGGTAGAGGCGCACGAGGCGGCGCAAGAGACGTTGGGAGGGTCCCGAGCCCCTCCGGGCAAGAACGCGGTCCTAGGCTAAGTGGGTTGCGGGGAAAGCGACGCGAGCTGGGTCCCCTGGTTCGCAGGACCTCGGACTGCCAGGGGGTAGGGCCTCCGCGCGCCCCTCCCTCTCCGGTCCGGGCCCCGCCCCTCCTCCTCCTGAGCCGGGCTGGGGTCCTCCTCCTCCCGGACCTGGGACACAGCGTCGCGCGCTCCCCCCAGGGTGCCATGGCCTCCCGGCTCCTGCACCGGCTGCGACACGCCTTGGCAGGCGACGGCCCCGGGGAGGCGGCGGCCACCCCAGAGGCCGAGCAGTTTCCGGAGAGCTCAGAGCTGGAGGACGACGACGCCGAGGGCCTGTCCTCCCGACTCAGCGGCACCCTCAGCTTCACCAGCGCCGAGGACGACGAGGACGACGAGGACGAGGACGACGCGGAGGCTGGCCCTGACCCGCTGCCCCTTGGGGATGGGACGTCAGGAGAAGACGCAGGCGAGTGCAGGAGGACGGAGGCGGGAACCCTGGGGCTGGATTAGGCCTCCATCCCTGCTGCGTTCCCAGAGCATCCAGGGCGCTGAGTTGATCCAGCTGAAACTCCCACACTTCTTAAAGAGCCTGGGCCACTTCTTGGTTATGTGACCTTGAGAGAGTCTTAACCCCCCTCTGAGCCAAGTTTTCCCTTGTGTCAAGTGGGAGAACTCACTCTCATCTCAGAATTGGCTGCAGGCATTAAATGTACAGGGCCTGGAATCCGAATGGAAATGATGTATTAGCGATATTTTGAGGGTGGAGCTATTAATTTAGCCCCTACTGTCTGCCAGGCACGGTGTTTGGCTTCTCGGTGCCTCTCTGCCACTCAGTTTCCATTTCTGTAAAATGGGGGTAAATCCTGCCTCACATTGGGAGGATGAGTGAGGCCACGGCAGTGATTAATGTCGACCCTGGCCCTAGGCCCATTGATATGACTGGTCATGTGTCTGCAGAACGGAGCCCCCCACCTGATGGGCAGCGGGGCAGTCAGCTCCTGGCGCGGCAGCTGCAGGATTTCTGGAAGAAGTCCCGGAACACCCTGACACCCCAGCGGCTGCTCTTCGAAGTGACCAGCGCTAACGTTGTCAAGGACCCGCCCTCCAAGTACGTGGTGAGTGAGGGTCCAGAACCCCTGGGCTGTGAGTCTAGAAGTACGGCTACGAGCAAGTAGGGAAGACCCCAACTTCCTGAGGGGTCTATGCAGTTATAAATGGCTACCTCGTTTACAAATGGGGAAACTGAGGTCAGAAAGGGGATGTAACTTGAGCAAATCCTCACACAAATGACTTAGTTTCCTTGAGACTGAGTGAAGTGGGGATTAAGGACCTTCCTCTTATCCTGGTTTTGAGACTGAGAGAACTGGTGTGTGCACTTCCCTACCCAGCCCACAAGGTTTTTGCAAATTGTAGCAAGATGTGAGATAGGGAGAGACAGATGTTATCTGGGTGAAACTGGAGATCCAAGTTGCATGAGCTGGTGGTTAAGGATATAGGCTTTCAATCCAGACCAACCTTGACTCCCACTTATTTCCAGTTGTTTGACTCTGGGTGAGTTGTTTAATCTTGGTCATGTTCCGTTTCCTCACTATAGCAATGGGGAAAATGCAGAGGATTACAGCAGGAGTTAAATGAGACAGTGGACAAAAAGCCCTTAGCAGTGTGCCTGGCATTATGAAGTGCTCAATGAAATGGTAGCTATGTCATTATTATTTAACTTTGGGTTGAAAATGTTTGTCATCTGGGGCCTGCTGTGTCCTTATAACACACAGGTGAATCAGTTCTCAAGCACCCGACCCTGTACAGAATAGTCTTGTCCTAAGGGCTTGGCTTAGGGAGTTGGTGGAGGTTAGGATGAAGAGCAGTGTTGGGGAGGACCTTGGAGTCCCTTGCTGTTTTCCTTGCTGTTGAGAGACTGACTTGGAGAATGAGGTCTGCTCCTTTAATGCCCGCAGCAACTTCTGCTCCAGTCCCTTTTCAGGCCAGGCCTGAAAGGCAACTGAGCTGGCCACTCCTGTCAGTGGCAGCTCTCCATCTCTCACTCTCCTCCTCTACACCACCCTTCTCCACCTCTGACTCAGCAGGAGGGGGCCTGGAGCCCAGTCCCACATCTGGGCCTCTCCACCCTTTTCTGTTGCTGTTAGTAAGCAAGAGCCACACCCATGGGGTGACTACTCCAATTTCAGCAGGGACCGAGTCCGATTATTGAGTCTTTAAAAAATTTTTTTTTTTTGAGACGGAGTCTCGCTCTGTCACCCAGGCTGGAGTGCAGTGGCCGGATCTCAGCTCACTGCAAGCTCCGCCTCCCGGGTTCACGCCATTCTCCGGCCTCAGCCTCCCGAGTAGCTGGGACTACAGGCGCCCACCACCTCGCCCGGCTAGTTTTTTGCATTTTTTTTAGTAGAGACGGGGTTTCACCGTGTTAGCCAGGATGGTCTCGATCTCCTGACCTCGTGATGCACCCGTCTCGGCCTCCCAAAGTGCTGGGATTACAGGCTTGAGCCACCGCGCCCGGCCTAAAATTTTTTTTAAGACAAGGTCTCGTTCTGTCACTCAGGCTGGCGTACAGTGGTGCAGTCATAACTCACTGCAACCTCCAACTGGGCTCAATTAAGCGATCCTCCCACCTCAGCCTCCCAAGTAGCTAGGACTACAGGTATGCACCACCACGTGTGGCCAATGATGAAGTCTGAAGTGGCAAAGGTCTCAGAACTCTGGGGTGGACAAGGGTTCATACACAGGAAGGGGACACCAAGGAACAGCTCAGAGGCTGAGAGGAATGGGGGTGACTGTGGGTACCTGGATGGGAAGGGATGACAAGATAGAGCAGGATGGCCAAGTATGCCCCGGCCTGTGTCTGGAGAAGCAAGGCACCTCCTCTGTACGATGGGGACTCTAATTCCCCACTTAACTTGGGGGGGTGAAGGGCACAGGCTTTGGAGTCAGAGTCAGATCAACCTGGGTTTAAATCCCAGCTGGGCTGTTTTCCACCTGTGTGACTTAGGGCACGTATTTGAGCCCTTTGCCCCCTCTTTGAGCCTGCTTCCTCAGCTGTCAGAGATAAGGACACCTTCCCTGCAGTGCTGTTGTGATGATTAAATGAAATCATAGATATAAAGAGTGCTTGGTACAGCAGGAGGCACAGGGTAAGTGCTTGGGTAATGGAACCATGATCATTATCACCATCTGGCTGCACGTTACAAGGATCAATGAGATAATGGATACAAAATGTAAACTAGATGAACATAAAGGCTTATTATATAGACCAGTGTGTCCTGAAGAAAACTGGTGTCCTAAAGTGTGTCCTGCAGAAAACTGGTTCCCTGGAATGTTAATAGCTGTTTCTAAATAAAGGTTTTGCAGGCAATATGTTCTGAGAATGCAGTTAAATGAGAATACAGTAAGTGTCTTTATTGTTAAACTTTTTTTTTTTTTGAGACGGAGTTTCGCTGTCGCCCAGGCTGGAGTGCAGTGGCCAGATCCCAGCTCACTGCAAGCTCCGCCTCCCGGATTTACGCCATTCTCCTGCCTCAGCCTCCCGAGTAGCTGGGACTATAGGTGCCTGCCACCTCACCCGGCTAGTTTTTTGTATTTTTTAGTAGAGACGGGGTTTCACCGTGTTAGCCAGGATGGTCTCGATCTCCTGACCTTGTGATCTGCCCGTCTCGGCCTCCCAAAGTGCTGGGATTACAGGCTTGAGCCACCGCGCCTGGCCTATTGTTAAACTTTTTAATCTCTAATATTAATGTACACTGTGAATCTTCAAGAGGACAGAGTAGGCAAACCTAACTGACCAGGAGTGGCTAGAGCGTTGTCAGTTCCACAGAACAAATGTGAGAGAAAGATCTGGATTTGCTATTAGGGTGCCTTTAAAATCTAACACTTGTTAACTCTCCTTTTAAACCTGTTGGCTTGGAATTATCGGTTAATCCATATTCAGGTTCTCAGACCTGGGAGGCGGGGAGCTTAGTGGTCATCTTGCTCAGTGTTTTCCAAACCTCAGTCATTCCAGTACCTCCCTGGTTCTTGTCCTATCTAAAAGTGCCACTTGTACTCTTTTCTTCTTAACATTTTTCTTTAAATGAACCTATTTTTTTTTCTTTTTCTTTATTTGAGACAGAGTCTTGCTCTGTTGCCCAGGTGTGAGTGCAGTGGTGCAATCTCAGCTCACTGCAACCTCTGCCTCCTAGGTTCAAGCAATCCTTCCACCTCAGCTTCCTGAGCAGCTGGGATTACAGGTGCCCACCACCACGCCTGGCTAACTTTTGCATTTTTAGTAGAGATGGGGTTTCACTGTTGGCCAGGCTGGTCTTGAACTCCTGACCTCAAGTGATCTGCCCGCTTCAGCCTCCCAAAGTGTTGGGATTACAGGTGTGAGCCACTGTGCCCAGCGGAACCTATTTTTTTCTTAAAATAAATTTATTTACTGAGACAGAGTCTTGCTCTGTCGCCTAGGCTGGAGTGCAGTGGCACGATGATAGCTCACTGCAGCCTCGAATTCCTGTGCTTACATGATCCAACTGCCTCAGCCACCTGAGTAGCTGGGACCACAAGTACCCAACTAATTGTTTTTCTTTTCTTGTTTTGTAGAGACAGGGTCTTGCCATGTTTCCCAGGCTGGTCTCGAACTCCTGGCCTTAAGCAGTCTCCTGCCTCAGCCTCCCAAAGTACTGGTCACTATGAGCCACTGTGCCCATCGTTTAAGTAAGTTTAAAAGACAACTTCATAGCACTACAGCATGTGGAAAGTCTCACTTGCCACAGAGAGAAGCTAGCCATAAAAATAAAAGTAGTGGGCCAGGCACGGTGGCTCACGCCTGTAATCCCAGCACTTTGGGAGGCTGAGGTGGGCAGATCACCTGAGGTCAGGAGTTTGAGACCAGCCTGACCAACATGGTGAAACCCCGTCTCTACTAAAAATACAAAAATGAGCCAGGCGTGGTGGCGCATGCCTATAATCCCAGCTACTCAGGTGACTGAGGCAGGAGAACTGCTTGAACCCGGGAGGCGGAAATTGCAGTGAGCAGAGATTGTGCCACTGCATGCCAGCCTGGGTGACATGGCGAGACTAAATTAAGTAAGTAAGTAATAAGTAGTGAAAATGAAACATCATTAAATCTTGCCTAGATGCTGTTGCCTAAAGAAGGCCCTGACCTGAGATCCACTTTCTGGCTCTTTTCTAAAAATGGAGATGAGAAGTGTTAGAGAAGTAGGTTTGTTTTTTTTTTTTTTTGAGGCAGAGTTTCACTCTTGTAGCCCAGGCTGGAGTACC